GTGAACAATAGTATAAGCAAGCAGACGGGGTTGACGACACTACGACTGGAGAATATGGCAAGGTTTACTTTACGTCGGCAACGCTCGTCCCAATTACGAGAAAGGCCCAGCAAAAGTCTCCAAGCTCGTCATGAGATCTTCTGACACCTGGGTGTTCAACCGGCGCGGCACCAACAGAAAAACATCTGCCTCTGCTGCTCTCGATCTAACTCAAAGAGGGGAAATTTGGATCGCGATAATTGAAAAGTACTTCTTCGAGTTTTTTCGACTTAAAAGTCAGAATCCATACAAATGGCATCCACAAATTACCTGCAGAACGGCAATATGTTTGCAATAATGATATTTTGCTAAATGTTAACTAGGCTAAAGACGAAAAATTGATTTGATGAAAAAAATGAAGTATGGCATCTGGGACGGTGGCCAAAAGCCGCAGACCGGGTGTCAAGGGGATGATTTTCGGCAGTATTTGGTATTTATATAATAATGAGAGGCGAGACCGCAAAAAGATCTGCCTGAAACGGCGAACATTCCATTGCTAGCAAAAATCGCGTCGCTCATGGACTTGAACCTTGCAATGCAACGTATCATGAGCGCAACCTTTGCCACTGCACCACAAAGCGTTTCTGGTTAACGTTGAAAGTGTAGAGAGCGAAGTAACGACCTACGTGGGTTGCAAAACCTAAGGCATTCCTGAGTATTGGTCTCGTGACCGATCCATTGTCAACACAGAACGAACCCACTGCGTCAGTTGACACGGTTGGCCAGAATGATTATACAAGAGGTGAAATGCTCGCATGCCTAAGGAAGGAGCTAAAACACGATTAGTCAGTGGGACACAGCAAGGAACGCTGATTAAGTTACTAGCGGAAAGGATGAAAATACAGTTCGGGGGGGGGCGCTTTTGCTATCTTATCCGTAGTACTAGAGAGCACTCTTGGGCTATCCAACACTACGGATAAGAAGTAAGCGACTCATTTCGAGCGTACTTTTGATAAGGACCGGTGGATGTCCTACATTCCACACTACCTGCCCACATCCCATCCACTTTTCTGCACAGGTGATCCACCCTGGAGCTCCTGCACCCTTAGCCCTTTGCGGAGGTGTCCTTTCTCCTGGTCCAGGACCGTTTCCTTGGGTCATGGCAGGCAGGAAATGTGGAAACTTCTCAGGTTTCTAACACATTTTACCGGTACTTATCAGATGTACACTTCAAATGAATTGTTGGAACCGCGAGAGCTCCAAAGTTTCGTGACAGAAGTGGGTGTTATGTAACAGCTGTGACGATTGACCGTACTCCAATTACAAGAAAGATAGGGTCTCTCAAATTTCGTCGAGTAAACGTCGAGGACGCTGAAATTTTCACGCGAGTTTTTGCCACTTCAAGAGCAATATCTCTCTTAAACGTGAAGATCCTGAAAAAGGGAAGATAGTTTTGGAAAGCGGAAGGTTTGCGCTTTCTGATGGTCTTCTTAGCTTTCTTCTACATTTCCTAGTTGAGAAGATATCTGCGTCGAGTATGTATCGAGGACGGATCCGGCCACCTGAAAATCCGCTCCCTCCTTCACCATTGCAAGTGTAATTCTTTAACTTCGTATATCTATACGAAGTTACTTTCCACACGGGAAAGATCCACTCTTCAACTGGTGAAGAGAACGAAGCTCGCATCGGGCGACGCTTCGGAGTCAGGGGGAGCCCTCTAGCACGTAGAGTTAATCACCTAGTCGTCCGCAACGACCTCGGGAAACTCCCCTCTCGTTTCCGAGAGAGACCGATCTGCTCACATCCCGTGAGCTCGGCAAAACTCCAGACTGACTGATCAGCTCGATCAGAAGACGGATCGACAGTAGATGGGGGCGTGGCTTAGGTTTACGACCATAAGAGAGAATCTCAGCACCTGCATGCACTTTTACAACCTGCACGCGGCCCATCTCAATCCGAGATGTTACTCACAAGTTATCTAAACTTGGATGATACAGTAAAACTGACTAAGGTTACCCATATACTACACCCGTAGTGCGCAGAAGAATCATTCCTGAACGCATGATAGCCGGAATCAGTGTGATTTCAAGGTGAGGCGGCAGTCAGAAATGAGAGGCACTCCTGAGACGATGGTGCGTGTACTTCCACACTGCACACACACTTTATCGTAATCTCTCGCTTTAACTTCGGTCCTTTACGCTGCCTCAATTCGATGCTCTCGTCTGCACTCTCTCGCCTTATCAATGGCTCATGACCACTGTGATCTCACACATTCAAACTTTTGCCACACTGTAATTGGCTCACCCACTCTAGAATCCCTCCCCTCTAAGGCTCAGTCGTATGGCTTCCACCTTCCACTCAAGGATTTGGAGCCGAGCTAGGCGCCGTTTTTGAAAGCCACGAGTCAGGATTAGGTGGTCATAGAAGGCCTTTCCATCACTAATATTTCCAGGAATGCGCTCAGAGGGGTGACGCCACACTCCTGACTCGAGATTGCGCGCCGTCAAGGCCTCTGGCCTACTACTTACAGCGATGGGTTCGTTGCATCAGCTGGTCCCGCCCACCGCGGGATGTGGTGCGTGGCTGGCATAACGTGTGAAATCAGCTAGGTTGATTGCCGTATCAACCGATGGAACGGCTGGCATATCCGGAAAACTCGTTTGGACGTGCCTCTCCCCAAGCCAGCCTCCTTCACTGCTAGTGGGAAAGAGGGTTTTGTTAACGGCCTTGTCGACGGTTTTTTCGTTTTTTCTCCACTGTCGTTCCACTTCGCATCTCTATACTCAGTTCCATATACCACTTATTGATCCCGACCTTTGCCTTTGATCGTCTATGCTCTCCGCCATTCCTGGCAGAACCATAGAAGAAAGTTCAAGTAACGCGTGAACCCACGCGCGATTTGCATTCGCTCGTACCCTGGCACTGCGCGCTGAAAGCTTGCGACTGCACCCACATGGGTTGCGCTACACCATTCCATGGTCCTGAAGTCGGTGCTAACTTAGTTGGGAGGTGTGAGAGGGGGGGAGGTAGCTGGAGATCACCACTTTCAAGTGTCCACTAGTGCTTAGAATTTGTCATATATACATACCTCGTGCTTACAAAAGGTGATCGTTGTAGACGACGTTATCACATTCCGTGCCAGTTATGAAAACCAAATCCTGCGCTTCAGTGCGCGGCATGATTAGTCCAAATCAGTCCCACCCTTCAGCCTTCTGCTGTAGTCTATAATCCCTTCTCTATATTGTAACGTTGCACCGCGATGGAGTGCTGCATACCACTCCCCCGAGGCGTCCTCCTTTGCGCTGTCACAGTCCTCCCGCTCGCAGACTGTTGGGGTTGGAGCAGCATGCTTGCGGCAAGTGGTTACTAGTGAAGCAATAGAGCAACAGCGTTCTAGAGAGCAGAAAATTGAACCGTTCGAATGGCTCGGTCTGAGGCCGTATCCTACCCTTCTCCCACGGGTACGCCTCCCCGGGGCGGTATTCAATCCTTCCCCCAGGGGGATATATCCCCCTACTCTGATTCAATCCTCTGGGGGGACAAAAAAGGGTTGCGTCATAGGACCTAGCATACCTCTGTGTTTCTACCTGCCAGACAGTTAGAGCAGCGCGACCCCTCAGGGAAAGAGTGCTTCATCAGTGGAGGGTAGTAGCGCTGCTCTAACTGTCTGGCAGGTAGAAACACAGAGGTATGCTAGGTCCTTTTTTGTCCACCCAGAGGGTTGAATCAGAGTAGGGGGATACATCCCCCTGCGCGAAGGATTGGAATAACCTCGCTACGATAGAAGCGACTTCTAGCGTTTCGATACCTCGCGTGCGCAATATTTTCGTGGCAGGACTTCAGGTTACACTCATGGTTCGAGCGGATGGACCTAAGAGAGATAGTATGCAGTTGAAAAATGTCTTCGCTGCGGGAACGGCAAAAGGGCGCTTTCTGGCTGAACTACGCCCACGTATCCGCGCCTTTCCATGATGGGGGAAGACTGGGTTGCATGAACCGGCCGTACTCTGCGTTTCTAGACTACAGCCTGCGCGAACCCCGAGAAGGGATGGTTCCAAGTGGGCTGGGGGGGGGGGACCGCGTGCCGAAAGGTCAGAGACGATTAGAGAACGGCGCCTGGCCCGGCTCCAAAACCCAAGAAGGAATGTGAGAGCCCTAGGACTAAGCCTTGGAGGGAGAAGGGACTCCGGAGTGGGTGAGCCGCGCCATCGGGTACTAACCCTTGGAGGAGCAGACGAACAGAACACCGCGCCGTCGCGTGTTCCCCCCCCCTAGCCACTTAGCACCGAAAAGTGTCTCAACAGTGGATGGTATACAACATCACGTGTTCAATGGCGGGTCTGTGACGCATCCTGTCTCCCCCAGGCTTAGGATAGAGTCAGTAGTGGTGAAAGCGTCCTTTGGAGAAAGGATAGGATATGGCCCATGACAAACGTGAATCAGTCGCATGCACGTACCTCAAAAAAGCGAGAAAGTGTCGGGTGCAGACCATGCACCACAAGTGACGACGGCCTTCACAAAATGTTAATGTTTTCTGCCAATGAAATGATTAGCCTGTTGCAGTTGTATTCTATCATTGTCACTAATTACAACTATCATTTAGAAATCAGCTATCACTATGAACAACTTCTAACCAGATTTACTTGGAGGCCGTCGTCAGTTGTGGTGTTTGGTCTGCACCCGACACTTTCTCGCTTTTTGAGGTCTCCGGACATCTGTCAACCGTGAGGCTAGGCAATTCAGCGTTTTGTTGTGCTGTCTGGGAGCTCTCACACAAGCACACTATTACAGAATCTCCGCTTTCTTTACCTCCTTCAAAAGGCTTAGTCCCACTACCACAAAGAACGTCTGCTTTTCCTTCTACACTCTCACCCCCTGGTTGACAGAAGCCTTGTAACCGCTCTTTGAAGGGAAGGTTACACCTTTGGTGCCCCATTCGTGGACGAGTTGTTACGCGACGTGAGTTGCACTGCACATGGCGAGTGCATGAGCCTTGTTGCAGCCAAGCAAGGGATAGTCAGGAATGTGTGAGTCGTCTGTGTTTATTATCGCTTGGTAATGGCTTTTGCAAAGCATTCTTTACAGATTACAATGCTTCCAAGGGAAGACAATTAGGCTGTAAGCTCGATGGAGCGAAACTTAGCAGGAAAACTCACAAAAGCTGGGAACAACTGAGGCGTCATGATCCTGATGTGGAGATTTCCGACGAAGTCACCGAGGTGTCATTGTTAGCTAATGTTTCAAAGCTTTCCTCGTTGAGGATGTCACTGTTTTTAGCATCTTTTCGTGAGTAACAGCAGCGTTTTATGTGGAGTTTCTCTGGAAGAATTGGAGGACATTTTTCTCCCCTTCGACCCCGACGCTTCCTTTACTGTGTTTCCCAATAAGCGGTAAGTCGGTTTCTCCTGGGTATGGTTTGCCAGGACAAAAAGCGTCTGATGTGGACCTAAGGACCTCGCAGCGAAAAATGCTTCGAGTACGAAACGCGAAAACGCTTCTCCTCCTAGCGAACCAGACTCTCGTCGGCGGTGATTGATAAACCATCTCGTCTTTTCCTGAAAGTGAGTATTTAGGTCCTACTCTTTTGTGAGCTTCTCTTCGAAAGAACATGCTTCTGCCGCTAGAGAAGGACTGAACGGAGTGGTGCCGACCCAGCTTAAGGTCTCTCATCAGCCCTTCTTGATATCTTACGTGAAACAATGTAAATCTTTTCTTTTTACCTATTTCACCGAGCTAATACTTTCCCTTTTAGCTAACTCACTTCTAATGTCTCTTTGTTTTCCTTCTGATCTGCTGATCATTGTTTAATACGTGTCAGGAAAACATGGCCATAGGATGCCATGTTGGTCTGGAAATTGACTCACACAATGGTCTTCCATGTTAATTCTATTTGTTTTCTCACTTTTCTCAGTTTTCGAGTTGTAATTCTGCCAGAAATAATTGTTTTAAGTACCTAAAGGAGGATCTCCTGATGGTTTGCAACTCCCGAATGATCTTGTTCTTTTGGATGAATACATCTCAGCGCAACAGGAAGAGGAGCTCCTTCACATGATCCTCAACTCAAGCCGTGGTATGACGTCATAATTTCTATTCATATTACTTCATTCATAAACAGTTTATTGCAGCAAACTTCTCTGAAACATCGTGCTGTAATTCATTATGGTTTTGAGTTCGACTACAGTGCTAATGCTGCTTTCAAGCCCACTCATCCAATCCCCGATCTGATTGAGCGACTAGTGGATAGGATTGCGAATGATGGTCTTCTCGATTTTCGACCGGACCAAGTATAAAAAATGATTGTCTTCTACCTATTCATGCTTTCTACCTTTATGCATCCAGGTTACAGTCAACATTTACGAGCCTGGTCAAGGAATACCCTCTCATTATGACACGCACTCAGCTTTCGAAGACCCCATCGTTTGTTTGAGGTAGGTTGCGCTGTTTTTGTTGTTTTTTGAGCAATGTTTTCGTAAATCATCTTTATTTAAGGCAAACAACATTCCCCTTCGTTTTCCTTCCTTGGTTACTTGTCTTCGAATCTTTTTTTGTTT